TCTTTAGACTAGATTTCATCGTAAAACGCACCATACAAATCTCGCATCGGAATGGTTTTTCACCGTTGTGCGTTCGCATATGACCTTTCAAATGAGTTATACCAACAGTGACAAACTTCTTGCAGACATGGCATTCATATCGACGTCTTTTGCACACCTTTTCATGTGCATCTCTTTCGGCCTTCTGGGAAAATCCATTCAAACAACCTCGACAATGGAACGGTATTTTTTCGGTATGAGCTACTTTGTGCTTCCTCATGTGATGTGACTGTGTGAATTCTTTGAGGCAAATATCACATCGATATGGTTTTTCACCTGTATGAATACGCGTGTGCACATTTAGTTGCCCCTTATGATTACTGGAATATTCACAAACTTCGCATTGGAATCGCTTCTTCGTCCCCATTGTGTTTGGTGAAGTTGATTTTTTACTTTGCAATAATTTTGGAGTTGAACCCACTTCAGCCGGGTTTTTTTGACGTCCAACGGATCTTCCTCTCATGTTATTCTTTTTGGCACCATTGACGTTGTTTGCTGCATTGTTCAAATTGACAGTTGATGTATTTTGGACCGTTGTGTTCATAGCACGGTGTACATCAATGGCAGCTATCGGGAAGCCGTCATCCAGTTCCATTACCTCCGCTTTCATTGCGTTTTCCATTTCAATCCTAATACGATGTCCATTTCTGTTTTGCGAAAAATCCCTTTGATAATCAAACAAGTTTGATTTCATGTTAGACATTTCGGTGTAGCTTCCATCGTTGTCAAATTCAACATAATCGTTTGATTGATGTGATATGCCATGGCCATTGTACCGAATGGTACGTTCCATTTTCGATGCTTGATCCTCTTCGTCGCTCGAGTCAATGATTTCAAATGGGTCATTGGTTGTTTGTTGGATGTCGTTTATGTCATTCCTTGGAGTATGAAATAAATTCGGATTTTCATGAGTTGCTGACGTGCTCGCATCCTCGAATATCGAACTGATTTCGAATTCATCGTACGAAGTCTTTATCCTGCAAACAAATATTAGTTATTATTGCAAAATTATTATTATTGTTTTTACTCACCGATCATACGAAACGCGCAAAAAATATTGCTTGAAATCATTGTTGATCGCGAGACCATTGCGTCCAAATGCCATTTTGATATTTTTCAGTGTAAATTTTACTTGTGAATTAAACGTGCCAAGCATATTGTCCATCTCATCATTCCAGCTCAACATTTTCGGAATTTTAACTTAATTTTGAATGGAAAAACAAATTTGTTGACCGGCATTAATGAAGAAAAAAATGTATTTTTGTCAGACCAATGCTCGAGCTAACTGATCTGAATCTGATATTGAAAGCTTTTATTCATTAAATGGTAAATTTGTATGAGAGATAGCGATCCCATGACAAACATGAAGCTGATTTAATGTTTCTGTCTATCAACAGCAAACACTGACAAGATAGCTCGATTGACATCAGACTCTCAAAATTCGAGTTTGTTCTCCAAATTTATGAATTTAATTCTCATTTTTTTAGCTCTTGATCTTACCTTCTACTTCAGACGAATCAATGACAAATATGAATTTTTTTCGCAATAACTTCGAGAAAGTACTCTTTTGTTACGAAAACCAATGAATATGATCAGTATTCTAACGATTAATTAAGAAAGCAATTCTTCTAATATCAATTGATCTTCTATTTTCAATCTAGTATCGTACGGAGCTCGTAAAAGGAATGGAACATGTGCTTTGCGCAAGGCGACGTGGTGTGATAATGACGATGCTATTTTGAAGCAATGACATGAGCTGTCAATATGGACTTTTCGCCACATTCAATTTGCTTTGCGACGAATTTAAATCGGCGCTGTTACTTCTGATTGTGTGTGGCCAAACGGTTCGGCTTAGATTCTATATTCAACCTACAAGACCTGAGAGAGATTAAGAAAATTGTTAAAATAAATCGATCCAGTCCACTTATAAATGAATCTTCAATTTATTTGAAATAAAAGATTTAACATAAGATTGATGATGAGGAACTGCTTAAAGTAACAAAAAAATTGAGTTGAACTTATGTTAATGTTGTAATGTAATATATTATCTATTAATATTAATTATTGCTATTTGTGTTTGATTGAATTTATGGGTATTTATTTTGTGAGCTTAATGAAGCTTCATTAAACTATGAATTTAGTCGTTGGTTCTCTAGTGGATGCTGTTCAAATGTTTATTCGGACTGCAAAATGCGTCATTCAAATCTCGCCTAGGCTTTGATCATCTGGTATTTGCCAATCTGCTAGCTTATAGCCTGGAGGTACAACCATATTTGGAGCACCACGTTCCAAATTAAAACCAGCACCTATGAATTGTTTTTCTTGCTGGAACATCAAGAAATAAATTGCCTCTGTTGGTATGTCGACAGCAGGAGCAAGATGATTACCAGCACGCCAATCGAAGTGCTTTACCGAGCCGGGCTTCAAGATTTTCAGTTCTGGATCAATGATGGGTTTTGGATGTGCATCAGCGTTGTCAGTATTCCAGCCCGGGGCTGAAGGATGCATGTTTGCAGAGTGACGATAATATCTGAATGTGAATTGTGTCCTTGCAGTTCGTAATATTGGTGAAAACAATGCATTCAACAATAAAACGCAAAAAGTTGGTGTACAGGAACGAAGTCCATCATATTTCGAACGCGTAATGTAAGTGTTGTGGCCAATGTGCGTTAGGCAAGTCATTTTATTTGGATGGTTGAAAACGTTGGCAATGTTTTCACGTAATGTCAGATAGATGCCAGGTGTGAACAGTCCCCATTCACGTGGTCGCAAAACGATGAAGTTGTCAATTGCCAAGACAAGATGCGTTTGGAATGGTAGAGTACCAGATGCAAAATGGTAAACACCATAACGGTCATTGTGTTCCATGTTGTACTGTTGACCATTATTGTAAGAACGATTTTGCAAATTGATGCCATGTTCTTTTCCTATCATGGCTGACATTACACCGTAAACATAGTTAAAGTATGGTGCATCATATGATCCAGTAGCTGTCCAACCATATCCAAATGAGTACCAGAAAGTGGTGAAGGATGAGATAGGAACACCGCGTGACATTTCATCGAGAACAGATCCACAAATGTTGAATGACATGTTGACAGTTGTAGAAGCAGCATTGGTAATTGCAAATCCAAGTACAAATAGTTGACAGATCTGGTGGGCATTGTATCTCATGATATCTTGCAATGAGTAAGGCAGGGGTTCTTTACTACCATTGATAAAAAGTAATTCGTGAAACCAGTTTGTTCCAAGACTTCTATTGATTGGTGTTGTGCAAAACTGACCGAAAGCATCAAGATGTATAGTTTGATAGTCTTCCATTCGGAAAGCGTCATTTTCAGTGAGGGTATCACCAACAAACATATCACTGTCTGGATCATCAGCTGGATCAAATACACTTGCATTGGCTGGAACAAAATCAGATATATTAGTACGTGGCCCTCCTTGATGGATGGGTGTCGCTTTCATTGGTTCCGTTGGATTATTTCGTTGTGCTAAACGACAGTGACGATGCAAATCACCAGCCATGACCTCAATAGCCATCATAAGACCACGGAGGCAATCTTGGCCTTCTTTGCGTCGACCGGCTAAGCGTATTGTTTCACCCAACAATGATTCGGCTGTAATATCAGCAGCAACATGTTGACGAGCGGAAGTGGTGAAATATACAAAAGGAATACTATCGAACACAAATTCTTTCCATGGTACGGTGACAATATGAGGATCTGGAAGGAAATACATTCCTTCATAACCGATGATTTCGAGCATAGTGATGTAGCTCTGTTCATTGCAGCGTGATTCAAATCCAGCAAAGTATTGTTGAGTAGCATATTCTAGTAATTGGTCGGCAGTAAAGGTTGGAACAGTTTGGCCAATTTGAACATAAACAAGGCGAGTGTTGGCGGCTGTGATGACCGGTAAAACAGGATCCACTTTAGCCACGGCGAGTCGAGCACGTGCAAAAACATTACAGAACAGTTTGAAGTAGAGATAATGGTTTGCTGTCACTGCAGTACCACTGCAGATAGCCGCGGTCGTTATACCGCTAATGACACGAAGTTCATCGCGTGACATAGGCATAGCTAATGAGAAATGTTCAAGTTGTGGATTGTAGAACACGGGTCCTTGCATCCATTCGGAATACACTTCTGGCATTATACGTCCTTTCACATACGATGATCCTTGAGTAAACCGTCTCGATACGACATCTCGAGGTGCTGGCAAAAATGCTGAGTATGATTGATTGATCAAAATCGGACCAGCTGATTGCCGAATGGACCAGGTGGATTGCTGTGTGATGAACGAACGTACTTCATATTCGTGAACATTTGGCATGATTACAACTTGATGTCTGCTGTAAGTAATGCAATCATTGAGATAAGTGATGAATGAGCTGGTCTTTTCTTCACGGTTGTAAGGGATATCACAGACGTCGCTATTCAATACGCCTGAAACGGTGATATTATCGGATTCCATTTTATCGATTTTCACTGTTTTATATTATAAATGTTCAATATGTTTTATTTGTCTCATAAATTTTCACTTGTCCTCAATTCAAAAAAAAATTGATTATTTTTGTATTGGCGTCAGTGTGATGAGGCTGAAAATAAATAGATTATCCAAATCAATCAGACTGACAAAATTCGAGTTTGTTCTTCAAATTAATGAATTTAATTCTTTATTTTTTTCATTTTTGGAAAATCAATCGCAAATTTTTTTGACTCCTGATCTTACCTTCTACTTCAGACGAATCAATGACAAATATAAATTTTATTGGGAATAAACACTTTTTGGAACAAAAATCAATGAATTTGATCTGATTTGATCAGTATTCTAACGATTAATTAAGATGCCAATTCTTCTAATATCAATTGCTCTTTTATTTTCGATCTAATATCGTACGGAACTCGTAAAACGAATGCAACATGTGCTTTGCGCAAGGCGACGTGGTGTGATAATGACGATGCTATTTTGAAGCAATGACATGAGCTGTCAATATGGGCTTTTCGCCACATTCAATTTGCTTTGCGACGAATTTAAATCGCCGCTGTTACTTCTGATTATGTGTGGCCAAACGGTTCGGCTTGGATTCTATATTCAAACTTAGAGACTTGAAAGAGATTAAGAAAATTGTTAAAATAAATCGATGCAGTCCACTTATAAATGAATTTTCAATTTATTTGAAATGAAAGATTTAACATTAGATTGATGTTTGATTTTTAGTTCAATGGGTTAATAATGAAATTGAGTTGAACTTAGGTTAATGTTCTAATTTAATGTAATATGTTTGTTTTGTTATCATTAATTATGTGATCAATTAGATCATCGATATCGATGTGATGAAACA